CACAGTTATATGTTTTTATGTGTTTTACTGTCTTTTGCTGCCATGTGTTCAATGGAGTTTTGCCTCTGTCCTTGGAGATAATTGGATTACTTCCCAATTATCTCCAGGATAGAAGACTCTGTGGAACTGGTTTTGGGTAGAAAAGCCATGCTTCATTTGGTCACAAAGGACTTCGATCTATCTTTTGAACCAATGGACCAATTTGGATGATTTTGACATATGTTTGTATTTGGAGTATGCTGATTCTGAAAATGTTTTTATGTGAATGTGATGCATACTTTTAAAGTTATGAATAATGTGTGAAAACTGTATTTCTCTGCCTGTGATAATTACATTACCCATTGTGTAAGGTAATTGTATCACAGGCAGAGGGGAGGATTTTGTGTGGGAGTGTCTGAGTGTATTGTACGTGTTTATTGGTTGTTTTCCAAAACCCTGTGGGTGGTACCAATGTGTAAGAATATGTACATAAGAACAATAAACCCACAGCTCTGTCTGTTCCTGCTTGACCCTCAAAACGGAGCCTTGTCTCGTTCTTGGGGGGATTTATTGTATGCTGTTCCAGTTTGACTGCTAGGAGTGTAAACCTATTCGTATGGTTTTTCCTATTCGGCTGTTTACAGCATTCATATGGTTTCCTGTTTGGCGGATTGATGTTCTGCAGTAGCTGTGCCTGTGTCTCTGGAGGGGAAGATCTACTAAACGGCGGTTTAACCCTTTTATGCCTGGTGGTGCCGTTACATATATATATATATATATAAAGTAGAAAAAATACCGGCACTCTAGGTCTTCCAAAAGTTGTTTTTTATTTTCTGTCAATCTAAAGGGTCAACGTTTCAGGCCCCATTCGGAGCTTTCATCAGGACACATCAAAGGCATTTCACAAAATGACATGCTTATATAGAACTATATATGTATGGGTTCTGTGTGTAATGGGGTCAAGTATGTATGTGTGTATATGGGTGAAGAGATGATGTGTGGGATGAAGTGTGTGTGTATGCAGAGGTGTACAGTATGTGGGGGGTTCACTGTCTTTGAGGATGTACTGTGTTCAGGGGGTGTAGAGAGTGGGGTAGGGAAGGGTTTTACAATGTTTACTTCAATAAGAGTCAAAATGTGATGGTTGAGAAGGCTGCCTATCCATCGGGTTCAGGGGAGGTTAGGAGATGAGAGGTATCTCTCTTGGAGCTCAAGCACTTACACAGACTGACCTATACTGACCTATACTGACCTATACAAACCCAGACTGACCCCCCCGACACACACAGACTGATCCCCAACACAGACTGACCCCCCACACACACACGGCTCCCACCCACAGACTGACTCATACACACACACAGACTGACCCATACACACCCAAAGACTAACCCTCCCCACACACTGACTGACCCATAGACACACATAGACTGCCCCCATACAGACTGACCCATACAAACATACAGACTGCTCCCCTACACAGACTGATCTATACACACACACAGACTGACCCATACACACCCAAAGACTAACCCTCCCCACACAAAGACTGACTGCCCACACACTGACTGACCCATAGACACATATAGACTGCCCCCATACAGACTGACCCATACACACATACAGACTGCTCCCCTACACAGACTGATCTATACACACAAACAGACTGCCCCCACACACACAGACTGACCCATACACACATAGACTGCCCCCACACCGAATGACTCCAGGTGCTGGGAACTGCAACTATCATAAATTCAGTCAGAGGTTATCCGGACTGATTTCGTTAGGTTCCCAGGGCAAATTATTTTGTAACAGTGCAGTCAGTGATAGAAAAGCATTATTTAGAAATTTGTGATACACCTTGCATACATGACATATTACTGTGGGGTTCATTGATACATATTCTATGTGTTATATGTGTGGGGTTCATTGATAGGGGCATTTGCCCTGATGCCTCCCTTAGCCCCCAAGAATTGCCCCTGGTGCCAGGTGGGTATATTCCTTGATGATGTAACTCCAAAAACTCACTGCACCTAAAACATCCAACCACGGTTGTGCGTAAAATAATATCTTTTGTATTTCTATTCAAACTCTGTAGATGTTTATCCATAGCAACAAAAAAAACATTTTGTGTGGGAGCACAGAGAGAGAAAGAGCAAAATTATGTTACAACTAATACATTGAAAAAAAGCACAAACAGAGATTGTCCTATAGTGGCTAACAGCCCTTGATCTGAATGGGTTAAACACGTTTTATTGGGGAGTTCCATTACTTTGAAGCTGTGACATAATCACATGCATTGTATATTCCATATGTAGCTTTATTGCTGTGGAGCTCTGTGATACACTCATACACTGCTCATTGCTGTGAGTTGTATTGCTGTGGAGCTCTGTGATACACTCATACACTGCTCATTGCTGTGAGTTGTATTGCTGTGGAGCTCTGTGATACACTCACTGTACATCCCTGTTTTATTGCTGTGGAGCTCTGTGATACACTCATACACTGCTCATCACTGTGAGTTTTATTGTTTTGGAGCTCTGTGAGATTTATTGTGGCTTTTTTATGTAAAGTGAACTCTGTGCTTTTTGTACATGACAACATCCATCTGTGTTTCACAAAAGGATAATGAATCCTAGATCATAATTACAAGTGATTCAGTTACCCCAGGAAGGTTTGGACAATTGGGGCTGAATTACACGTGACAATCTTTGAAATCTGAAGAGCAAATCAATAGATAAAAAACATTTCAACAAGGGATGGAGGTTTCAGCCAAAAAAATGATTTATCTGAAGATAGCTCGCAAAGAAAAGAACATTGTGTCAGCACCGCCAATTGCATCAAGGTAGTCAAAATATTATCCTTTCCTTAATATTAAAGTGTTGCTTTTACTTCTACATGATAATTACCATCTAACTTTCTCACAGCTGGTATAATCTCCTGGGTACTGCAATAACTGAAGTGCTTTTCAGCGATCTATGAAAATAAGGCTACCGTGTACATAAAAACAAAGGATTATTGTAAGGCAAAAATATCAGTAACCCAGTCTTCAACGTTTAATTTTCTGCCTTGATGTGTCTCTAAAAGCATTAGGAAAAAATAATAAGGTAACAGCAAGCTGACTATTAGCTATGCTTCAAAACTAGCACTTCTGTGAAATCGGCTCCTGGCTAATGTTTTTAAAAGGTGCAATTAGCAGGGATATAACTTACAAGTACATGAAAGTTACTGGTGTATAATTGATCGTTTGGTTTTTTCCTTACATTAAGGTGGGACAACGCATTTCACTCTATACAATCTATGGGCATTGTAATAACACAATTAAAATACGGTAAAAGACCATTAAATGGGATAGAAATGTACACAATAATGGCCTTTCAGTTTTTACTGTAAGAAAAGAACATATTCAATTAAATAAACAATTGCTCTACCATCTTCCAAAAACATATAGTGCAAGTCCATTTCTATTGTATAAACTCCTATAATTAACACAGAGAATATGCTTACCCATCAGACTAAGAAATAAAGCTGAATGTAGCTCACCGTGAAACTGTAGGGAAGGTCAATATATGATGTGCATTATTATTATTATTTTTTCTTCTAATATCGCATTGTTTTCTCTTTCTTTTATATTGTTAAATATTATGTTTTATACAATGAACATCAGGTTCACGTGAGCTGAGAATGGGATTTAACCCCTTGATGGCTAATGACGTGTCTCAAATCCATCAGTAAAATATGGTTTGGTGTCTGATAAAGTGTAAGACATGTCATGTAGACTCTAATATTGCAGCGATCACTGTGATTACAGAGATATTGTTATTTCTGGATGTCCAGAAATTACTGTCTGAGGGTCCCAAAAGGCAATCACCATGCTTATCATTCTCAGGCAGCCGGGGGACCTTTGTTATACATTGTAGACAATGCAGTCTCGGCAATTGCAGTGTGTACATGTCGTTATTAGACAGTCTGACTCCTGAGGCTGTCCAGTCACATACCTCAAGAGGCTGTCACAGCCATTGAACTGCAATGCAGTTGCATTGACAGCTGATGCCAAGCTGCTACAGTGTATCATGGGAACCCCAGACAGAAACAAGCATGCACACTCCACCAGCACCGGACTGGTATACCCTCTTTGCCTCCCTACCCAAAAAGGAAGTTAAAACTACACTGCGCACATAAATGTCAACCCGCAGAACGTCCCTTACAGCGCTGGAAACGCGGGTAACGACCCTGGAAAGCAAAGACCTGGACCAGAAATGCCCTGCAGTGCTGGCCACTGGGACACACTCCAGACACTCAGACCACACAATTAGAAAGCAAACATAAAACCACATTAAACAAAGACATCAACAAACAACTCGTAGACCTTAGGGCGAGACTCAACTCTAAAAAACAATAGAGCTACTAGATCTCAGTGTATATACCCGTCAGACCACCCCGAAGAAGGTGTGACTGGTACAACCCAGAGACTAATGTACCGATAGGAGACTCCAGGTATCTCCAAAGGGGCATAACCCCAAACTGGACAAAAAACAACAGACAATACAAAGTTGTAACTAGTCCCAGTGTGAAGATAATCCTGGGACCAGTCGCAACACCTGGAAATAAATTACATGGCGTAATGTAGTATGTTTTGGAAAGATTTTAACACTAGACTTTTCCCAGAAGGATTTCATAATTAGAATGTAGTTATCTCATTCCTATGTAGCACATTATATTAAAGCTCATGTTTAGGTCTGGGTAACTATTATGTACCGTGTATCTACATTTTCCCTCTGGGGCTTTGGCATTGAATTATTAGTACCACCTGTATATACTTTTGTTAGATTTTTTGGACTTTTGGTCTCTAATAGTTATCGTTATAGAAGTGATAGCCAGATTTTTCATCATACTGCATTATGCCATATAATTTATTTCCAGGTGTTGCGACTGGTCCCAGGATTATCTTCACACTGGGACTAGTTACAACTTTGTATTGTCTGTTGTTTTTTTTCCCGAGACTCAACTCTTGCCGGATGTACAAAATTCTGTTCCAATTTCAACTCACCAAAAAAACTTACTATGAATTCAGAAACAAGAGTGGCAAACTGCTTGCAAGAGCACTACGAGCACGCAGACAAAAGAGCCATGTCCAGAAGATCTCAGGGAAAACCTTCCACACCCCCACAACAATCACAAAGGGCTTTCAACAATATTACTCTTTGCTGCATTGCCTACCAGCACGTACCCCAACACCGGGTGATGGCGCTGGGACCCTCTCCAAACAACAGAAAGCCTATATTGCTCACTACATGACAACCAAATTGGAGGCACACTCCACAGCCGCCCTAGAAGAAAACATCACAAGAGAAAAACTACACCTGGCCATCAAACTAGCCAAAGCGAGAAAGAGTCCAGTCCAGACTTTTCTCCGACACCCTTGCCCCACACCTCCTAGCCCTCTACAATAATATTCTAGACAGGGGCTCACTAGACCCCAACACGCTACTGGCCCATGTGGTGGTACTGCCTAAAAAAGGGAAAGACCCCACGTCCTGCGCCAGCTACGGACCGATCTCCATGTTGAATGCCGATCTCAAACTCTTTGCAAAAATCCTGGTTTTCCGCATTCGACTAACAGACATGTGAACTAACAGAGATTTAATTATAACTAGACAACTCGATGTACAGGAACAGTGAGATGGAGGGCCCTGCTCAATGAGCTTACATGCTAGAGGGAGTGGGGTATAGTGACACAAAGGGTAAAAGTAGGGGTATGAAGTAAGTTGTTAGAAAAATATAAGCTGAGGGCTTAGTAGTAATTTTTGACAGTTGCCGGAGAGGAGTCATGGAGGGTGGAGGATAAAAACCTGCTAACAGTTTAATTGATATGCTTTCTTGAAGAAGTGAGTTTTCAATGATTTTTTTGAAGGAGTGGAGACTGGGTGAAATTCTTATGGAGGAGGGAAGGGAGTTCCACAGAAGAGGTGCATCCCTGGAAAAGTCTTGGAGGTGAGCGTTAGAGGTGGGAGTACGGACAGAGGATATACGTAGGTCTTTGGCAGAGTGCAGGGGCCTTGATGGGACATACTTGTGTATTAGGGAGGATAGGTAGGTTGGAGCAGCATTATGTAGGGACTTGTAAGCAAGCACCATAATTTTAAATTGAGCCTTATATCTAACTGGGAGACAATGCAGGGACTGACAGAGAGAGTGGTGTAAGACCACTAAGAAGAGTATTGCAGTAGTCCAGGCGAGAGAGAACAAGAGCATGGACCAGCACCTTAGCCGCATCCGGGGTTAGATAGGGGCGGATGCGCGCCATGTTTTTGGGATGGAAGCGACAGGATTTGGCGATTGATTGGATGTGAGGGGTGAAGGAGAGGTTGGAGTCAAAAAGAACACCCAGGCAGCGAGCCTGCGAGGTAGAGGTGATGGTAGCGTTGTTGACTTGGAGGAGACAGACACGGGAGTAGTCACACTTGAGGGAGGAAAGACCAGAAGTTTTGTTTTGGACAGGTTGAGTTTAAGGACGTGAGCAGCCATCCATTTGGAAATTGAAGAGAGGCAGTCTGAGACAGGAGTCAAGATGGGTGGAGAGAGATCAGGAGAGGACAGGTAAATTTGCGTGTCATCAGCATAGATATGATAATGGAAGCCAAACGAGCTGATGAGTTTACCAAGGGAGGCAGTGTAGATAGAAAACAGTAGGGGACCAAGGACAGAACCTTGGGGGACGCCGACAGAGAGTGGTTGGGGGAGGAGGCAGAGTCAGAGAAAGAAACACTGAAAGAGTGCTGAGAGAGGTAGGAGGAGCACCAGGAGAGAGCAGTATCCCGTAGACCAAAATTACGGAGAATGCAAAGAAGCTGTTGATGATCAACAGTATCAAAGGCAGAGATCAAGGAGAATTAGGATAGAGGATTAGGCTAGAGTAATGGCCGTGAGATTTAGCAGCAATTAAATTGTTGGATACTTTGGTCACAGCTGTTTCGACAGAATGACCAGATTGAAGGGGGTCAAGCAGAGAGTTGGTTTCGAGAAAGTCAGTCAGTCTGGTGTACACAACTCTCTCAAGGATCTTGGAGGCAAATGGCAGTAGCGACATAGGGCGGTAGTTGGATGGGGAGTTGGGGGTCGAGGCTGGGCTTTTTCAGAATTGGGGTTATGGTTGCATGTTTGAAGGGTGAGGGAAATGTGCCAGAGGAAAAGGAGACATTGAAAATTTTAGTGAGGGGAAGAGCTAGAGAGGGAGACATAGAGCGGATGAGATATGAAGGAATAGGATCGAGGGAACAGGTGGTAGGGTGGGAGGACCGGAGCAGAGAAGAAACCTCTTCTGCTGTAGCAGGTGCGAATGAGTGTAGAGTGGTGGAGGGAGTGGGGTTGGGTGATGTAATGGTAGAGGAAAGAGAAGAAACCTCTTCTGCTGTAGCAGGTGCGAATGATTGTAAAATGGTGGAGGGAGTAGGGTTGGGTGATTTATTGGTAGGGGAAGGAGAGAAATTAGCAATCTCTTCTCTGATTGTAGAGATCTTCTCAGTGAAGTGAGATGCAAAGTTTGTGGCTGACAAGGTGGTAGAAGGAGGGGGAGTAAAAGGGCGAAGAAGAGCATCAATAGTGTGAAATAGGTGTTTTGGTTGATGGGACGGTGTACTTATGAGGGTGTTAAAGCAATTTACTTTTGCAGCGGAGAGAGCCAAGCTGTAGGAACGTAGCATAAATTTATAGTGGAGGAAGTCAGATGCAGATGGAGACTTTCTCCAGCAGCGTTCAGCAGTTCTAGAACATTTTTGGAGGTGACAGGTCAGCTTGGTGTGCCAGGGTTGTTTTGGGGGCACTTACTGCGTTTAATTGTAGGAGGTGAGAAGAGAGAGTTGAGTTGTAGAGTGAGATAGCCGAGTTAGGACAAATTAGATTTGAGATGGGTAAAAGGAGAGTATTGAGGTTTTTTGGAGAAATGCTGGAGATCAAGGCAGTTGAGGTTTCTGCGAGATTGGAGAGTTGAGGGTGGTGAAATTTGGGCACGGGGTATGCTGATGTCAAATGTAGTGATCAACCTGGAACCATTTTTGAACGCCATATGAACACAACCTCGAATAGAAGGAATCAAGGGAAAATGGGGTGAAAGCAAAATCTCGGCATTTGCAGATGACCTCCTGTTTACCATTACATATCCGGAGCCATCCCTGAAAGAGCTTATACATCAATTCGACACATATGGACTACTGTCCAACCTCAAAATCCTCAATGTGGGATGCCCCCGATCGCTGGATATCTCACTGAAAGCTGAGCTATCCTTCCAATGGTGCGAGAAGGCAATCAAATACTTTGAAGTCTGGCTCTCAGCAGAACTGTCGGACAGCTACCGCATCAACTCCCCTCCTCCTTGACACGATTCAAAAAGACCTGAGATCATGGATGCTAACCCCCATAACGTGGCTTGGAAGAAGAAGCGTACTCAAGATGAACGTGCTTCCGCATCTCCTGTACCTCCTTAAACACTACCGATCCACATACCCAAAACATTCCTCTCACAGATCCGCACAACGTTCACAGAATACATCTGGCACCGCCAATAGGCGAGATTGAACTTTGCAACCCTCACTAAGCCCAAGCAACATGGAGGACTGGGACTCCCAGACCTAACCAAATATCAACAAGTCATGCACCTCCAAAGAATAATAGATTGGGCACACACACCGAAGGATAAACTCTGGATCTCGATAGAGGTGAGCTTCACAAGAACACCATTACCCCTACTCCCATGGCTGCCGAAAGACATGGCCAAGAAACTACAGAACAAACACCCGACCCTAGACACGACTATGGTAGTCTGGAGGAGATTATCAACACATAAGGACCTAGCTCTGACACTGACACCACTGTGCCCCATATCTCAAAATTTACAATTTCGCCCAGCTTCTGCCCAATACACTACATCCTGGGACTCCCATACCCGTGCAGACTGAAAGACATATATAACCAAGGCACGATCACGCCTCTGACAGAACTGGTAACACATACCCCACACAACCTGGTTCTCCGCCTATGATACCACCTACTGACAAGATTCCTGAGGAGCATCCCCAACCTGGATTCGGCTTCGAGAGCACTCACCACTTTTGAGAACATATGCACCAGCTCCCCTCCACCACAACACGCGACCTTGTTGCTATACAGCTTACTGAACACCCTAAGCCCTGAGGCCTCCCTCCCCTACTTTGCTAAATACTGGGAGAGAGACCTAGGACACCCACTCTTAGATGACCAATAGACCACGGTGTTCACACTATTACACAAATCCTCAATCTGCACCAAATTCAAAGAAATTGGACACAAAATGATTACACACTGGTACAGGACACCAGAAAAGCTAACCGCTATGAAGACCAACTACAACCCAGAATGTTGGAGGTGCGGAAAATAACTAGGCTTTCTCTACCATATATGGTGGACATGCTCACTCATCAAGCCTTTCTGGGAGGCAATACATAAGGTCCTAACTGATCACTGACATGAACCTTCAACTCACACCAGAAACATACCTACTCCAACTAACCACACTATCTACACGCAGACTCAAAAAAACAGCTATACCGCACCTACTGAACGCGGCCCGCAGTCTTATTACTTAGTTACATAGTTACATAGCTGAAAAGAGACTTGCGTCCATCAAGTTCAGCCTTCCTCACAAATGTTGTTGCTGTTGATCCAAAAGAAGGCAAAAAACCTGGTCGGAAGCGCTTCCAATTTTGCCACAAACTAGGAAAAAAATCCTTCTTGACCCCAAAATAGCAGCCAGATGTCTCCTTGGTTCAAGCAGCTATTACCCCACTAATTAGAAATTATATCCCTGTATGTTATGTTTTTGTAAGTATTTATCCAATTTCAGTTTAAACATCTGTATGGACTCTGACAAAACCACCTCTTCAGGCAAAGAATTCCATATCCTTATTGTTCTTACTGTAAAAAAACCTTTTCTTTGCCTTAGATGAAATCTCCTTTCTTCCAGCCTGAATGTGTGACCTCGTGTCCTATGTATAGCCCTGTTTATGAATAGATTTCCAGATAAAGGTTTGTACTGGCCCCGAATATATTTGTATAAAGTTATCATATCCTCTCTCAGGCGCCGTTTTTCCAAACTAAACAGATTTAATTTTTTTAACCTTTCTTCATAACTAAAATGCTCCATTCCTTTTATCAATTTTGTAGCTCGTCTCTGGACCCTCTCCAGTGCCATGATATCCTTCTTTAGAACAGGCGCCCAAAATTGCACAGCATATTCAAGGTGTGGTCTTACCAGCGATTTATAAAGAGACAGAATTATATTTTCATCCCGAGAATTTATGCCCCTATTTATACATGACAAAATCTTACTGGCCTTAGCAACTGCAGATTGACATTGCATATTGCTGCCTATTTTGTTGTCTAAACAATTCCCAAATCCTTCTCGTGTGTGGTTATCCCT